TTAAAAAAGAAAATATACACTACTGATGATAGAAATAAATCAAAACATCAATAATCACAATGTGAGTTAAATTCTTCTATTAAAAAAAGACCCATATTGGGGAAAATAGGAGGGTTATATTGTTTTTAAGATATTACAAAATAAGTGTTCATATCAAACAAAATGGAGGCCCAGGCTGAGGCCAAAAGTATTAAGATAAGGTGGAGTATTTTACAGTGATTAAAAGATACAATGTACTAGGTAATAGTCATGATCCTCATAATGGAACTGAACCAATTTAATAATAAAAAGCGCCAGAAACATAGGAGATACTGACAAACCCACAATAGTGGTAAGAGACTTTAATATACCTGTTTCCAAAGTTAACGAACCAAGTAGACACAAAAATAATCTTGGGGAAAATCTGAATAACATAATTGTGCCAATTATTAAGCTATTATTTTTTACTGCCAAACCCACCCTTCTCTATTCTGCTTTGGGGTGTTGGAGCTGGGGTTCTGAAAACCATTCTTCTGCTTTGCCAGTTGCTTTCCTGTTAGACTCTGACAATAGGGGTTGGGGCTAGAGGAAGACTGCAAAGCTGGAAGAGGAAGAAGAGGCTTGCTTCCAGCAGTCTGCTTCCCATGGGTTTCCCGACTGCTTGTGATATGAATGTCGCTGGAGTAATGTCACTTCATGAGAGTTTCAGCAAGTCTCTCCCCAGCAGCTGAATCCAGTTTGCAGTTTTCCAACCTTTATAAACCAGCTTCAGGGATATCAGCACCAGCCAGTCAGTCTCCTCCTTGCAGAGATTTGGGGTCTCCGCTCCATGAGGCCCCTCTGAGCTCAGAGACACCAGCAGCCAAGCTCTAAAGGGCTTCTCTTCCAAGCTTCTGAATTTTAATAATTCCAACCTCTTCCCACAAAGGAAAACCCGGGCTCAGACGGCTTCATGGTGAATTCTTCCAAAATTTAAGGAAGATATAATCTCAATCTTATACAAACTTTCCCAAGCAACAGAAAAACAGTGAATATTTCTCCAAATGCATTTTATGAGGCAAACATAACTCTGACTGTAAATCCTGACAAGAACATTATAACAAAAGAAAATAATATACCCACATATCTCCTGAATATAGATTTTAAAATCCTTGACAAAATATCAATCAGCAAGTTAAATCATGACCAAGTGGGGTTTATCCTGGGAATGCAAGTCTGGTTCAACATTCAAAAATTGATATAAAATAAACAGGTGGGATTATATCAAACTAAAAAGCTTTTGCACAGCAAAGGGAACCATCAACAAAATGAAAAGACAACCTACTGAATGGGAGAACATATTTTTAAATTCTATATCTGGACAAGGGGTTACTATCCAAAAATATATTTTTTAAAAAACTCAGAAAACTCAATAGCAAAAAAACAAACAATCAAGAGGATATGAATAGACATCTTTCCAAAGAAGACATGCAAATGGCCTACAGGTACATGAAAATATGCTCAACATCACTAATCATCAAGGAGAAGCAAATCAAAACCACAATGAGATATTACCTCACACCTGTCAGAATGGCTGTTATCAAAAAGAAAAGAAATAACAAGTGTTGGCGAGGATGTGGAGAAAAGGGAACTGTTGTTCACTGTTGGTGGGAATGTAAATTGGTGCAGCTATTATGGAAAGCAGTATGGAGGTTCATCAAAAAAACTGAAAACAGAACTACAATATGATCCAGAAGTTCCCCTTCTGGGTACTTACCCAAAGAAAATAAAATGCACCCTTATGTTCACTGCAGCATCATTTACAATAGCCAAGACACAGAAACAACCTAAGTGTCCATCGATGGACGAATGGATAAGGAAAATGTGATTATATATATATGTACACACACACACATATGTAAATTATTCAGCCGTAAAAAAGAATGATACCTTGCCATTTGCAACAACATGGTTAGGCCCTGAAGGCATTATGTAAAGTGAAATAAGCCAGACAGAAAAAGATAAATACCATATGATCTCTCTTAAATGTGGAATCTAAAGAAAAACACAAAAACCAACCCAAACCAAAACAAAAAAATTGAGCTCATGGATATAAAGAACAGACTAGTGGCTGCCTGAGGCAGGGGGTGGGGGGTGGGCGAAATGGGTGAAGGGGGTGAAAAGGTACAAACTCCCAGTTATATATGGGAATGTAATGAATATAGCGCGGTGACCATAGTTAACAATACTGTATTGTGTATTTGAAAGTAGCTAGGAGAGTGGATCTTGAAAGTTCTCATTACATGAAAAAAATTTTTTTGTAACTAGGTATGGTGACAGATATTAACTGAACTTAAAAAAAAAAAATCAATGTAATGAACCACATTAATAGATTAAAGAAAAATCACATGATTGTCTCAATAGATGCAGAAAAAGCATGTGACAAAATTCAATACCCATGCATAATAAAAACTGTCAGCAAACTAGGAAAACAAAGGAATTTCTTTAATCTGATAAAAGGCATTCACAAAAATATCTACAGCTAACTCATAATTTTGAAATACTGAAGAGTTTCCCCCTGAGGTTGGGAACAACACAAGGATGTCCACTATCACCACTTCTCTCAACATCGTACTAGAAGTCTTAGCCAGTGAAATAAAGAAATAAAAAGGCATAAGAGGCATAAGATTGGTAGAGAATAAATGAAATGGTCATTATCTGTAAACGTCACGATCGTGAACATAGGTAATCCGAAAGAACATGCAAATGACTAAAAGTGATAAGTGAATTTAGAAAGGTTACTGGATACATGTTCAATATTGGAAATGAAATATAAAAAAGCAATACCATTGATGATAGCATAAAGAAGACCAAATACCTAGGAATAAATCTAATGAAAGATACGCATAACCTTGCCATTGAAGCCTACAAAGCATTGTTGAGAAGAATTTTAAAAGATCTAAAAAATGGTAGGATATATTATTTTAATGAGGCAATTCTCTCCAAATTGGTCTGTAGGTTCAATGCAATTCCAATCAAAATCCTAGCAGGATTTTGTTTGGAAGTTGATAAGCTGATTCTAAAATTTGCATAGAATTTGCATACTGTTTGTATGCAAAGGTCTTACAATACCTGTAGCAATTTTGAAGAATAACATCACAGCTGTAGAATTTCACCATCAGTTGTCAAAACTTGTTACAAAGCTACAGTCCTTTAGATACATACACTGTCACCGCCTTACCACAATGCCTCCCCAACAACTCAGTGGGGAAAATTATAGTCTTTTCAACAAATGGTGCTGGGTCAATCAGATATCCATATAAAAGAGTTAACTTTGACTCTACCTCACACTATATACAAAAATTAATTCTAGATAGATCACAGACCAAATGTAAAAACTAAAATAATCAAGCTTCTAGAAGGAAATATAGAAAAATATCTTCATGACTTGAGACATGCAAAAAAGTCTTGATCAGGAAATAGAAAGCACTAACTATAAAGATTGATGAATTGGATTTCATTAAAATTAAGAACTTCTGTTCACCAAAATTCACCAGTAATATGAAAAAGCAAGTCACAGACTGAGAAAAGATTTTTGTGATATATGGATCTACCAGGAACTTGTATCCAGGATACATAAAGGACTCAAATCAACAACAACAACAAAAAGGATACACAATCCAATTTAAATACAGCCAAGAGGCGAATAAGCACTTCCAAAAGAGGATATCAAAGTGACCAATAAACATATAAAAAGGTACTCAACATCATTAGTCACTTGAGAAATGCAAATCAAAACCACAATGAGATATCACTACCTATCTACCAAAACCAGTAAAATGAAAAAGACTGATGGTACCAAGTATTTGTGAGGATATGGAATAACTGGAAATCTCTTACATTAATATGGGATTGACAATTGCTACAACCCCACTGGAAAAGTATTTGGCAGTATCCACTAATGCTAAACAAATTTTACACTGTGAGGCTCAGCAATTCCACTCCTGGGTATATACCCAACAGAAGCAAGTGCTTATGTCCACCAAAAGATGTGTAAAAAAATGTTCACAGCAGCTTTATCCATAATAGCTCCCAAATAGAAATAACCAAAATGTCTATCAACAGTAAAAGGTGTAAATAAATTGTGGTATAAATGGAATAAATAAGAGAAAAAAAAAGAGTGAACCACTGACATAGGCAACAACATGAATGAATCCCACAGATTTAACGTTGAGTGATACATGAATTTCAAATCAGGCGAAACTCATCTGTGTTGACAGAAGTCAGAACAGTGGTTATTCTTAGAGGAGATACTGATTGGGAGGTTACCACATGGGATGTTGAAAACGTTCTATATTGTAATATGGGTGATAGTTAAAAGAGTATATATATGTAAAAACTCAAGCTCTGCACAAGATTTCTGTATTTTACTCTATGTAAATTATTCCTCAATTTAAAATAAATGTTAAGGAAAAACAGTGTGGTATTGGCACAGTAATAGAGAATTAATTAGATCAGTGGAGCAGAATATGTAATCCACAAATACACTCATGCATTAAAGGGATTTTGGTTTATAATAAAGGTAACGGTTCTTTCATTTTCTGCCTCCAAATGTTGCCATCTGGATGTGATTCTTGGGACTGTGGTAGCAACCCTGAGACCTCAGTGGGAACCAGCCTAAAAGAACAAGCAAGAAGGACAAGCAAGCAGGCCAAGGATGGAGAGGAGAGGATGGAAAGAGCCTGAGCCCCTTGAGAATATCAATGCACCCCAGAATTAACCATCTCTGGAAAGCCTTACTTCTCAGTTTCTCGTTATTTGAGATAAAAAGGAAAACATCCACTTGTAACTGGGTTGTAAAAGCATCTTGACTGACAGAACCAGTTAGGAAGTTATACAAATAGTTCATGTAGGACTGCGATCTCCCCTGGCTCAGCAGTTGAAAAGCAGCAGCTCCCCAGGGAGCCACAGACTCTCAGAATAAACTCTTGGAAGCTTATCACACCATGGGTCTAGCATCTGCAACAAGTGGTATCACTAACCTGTCCGGTCAACATCCTTTTTCATGGGCAGTACAGTATAATCCAGTTGGTCATCCGAGGCCTCAAATATCCACGACTTGGGCTGCAGCATAGATTGGGGCTCTTTCCTGGGACTCCCCCTGCCTCCAACCCAGTCTCCAGACCCATCTCGAAGCTGAACCTGCTGTAGGTACGGGATCCGGAAAATCTTGTTTTGGTCCAGGCTTAACTTCTTCAGTCTTCAATTAAGGAAAGTGAATACAGAATCACAGCAGTAATGATACCTCAGGGACATTTACCAAGCAACTTTAGGGAAAGAACATGGAATCAGGTTTCGACAGTTACTCCCCTTGGGTGACCTTGAGCCAGTGACTTACCCTCTCTGGGCCTCAATGTCCCTATCTCTAAAATGGGGATAGTATTTATTAACCTTTCAAGGGTCTTGTGAAGATTAAATGAGACAATATGTAAATGCTGCCACAAAGTAGTGTTCAGTAAATGGTATTTGAATCCAAAGTAAATTTTCCAGGGATCTAAAACTTAAGCATTTAAATGCCAGCATTTCATTACTTTAACCAAATATAGTCAGCCCTCCATATCTGTGGGTTCTACGTTGGTTGAATCTGTGGACACAAAACCCAGATACAGAGGGCCAACTACAGGTAGAGCTCAGAGTTTAACTTACCTTTCTGATTCTCTTTTTTTTTTGGCTCCTCTATTAGGGTCAGGATCCCATATCTCCTTCTACCCTCCTTTCTCTTTACTGCTTCCAATCCAGTCACATGATCAGAAATATCTTTACTGATGCCTCACTTTTTGGCTTGAGCTAAAGCTCAGAGGGGAGATGACTTACTCATGGCCACACAGCAGAGATAAGTGATGGAGCTGGGATTTAAACCCAGGCGTTTTGGCTTCCAGAGCAGCACTCAAGGTGTGAGAAAGGCTGGGGGTTATAGAGGGCCCTGTAGAGAGAGGCTTCTAGCTTTACCTCCTGAGCCCGGCCAGGCTGGCAAAGCAATTGGGGTTGGAGAGTTTGTTGTCATCCAGCATCAGTGTCTCTAGCGCCGGGAACCTCAGGATGTACCTCCTGCTGGTCAGCGATGTTACATATGCCTCCCTGGGGGTGCAAAGACCTTGGGTAATGAACAAGGGCAGGGGACAAGCTCTACCACTCCCAGGAAGAAATGGAGGATTGGAAATCAATCAAGAGGCCTAACCAGCTTGGGAACTACTCTACTGCCCAAGAGTGGTCTCCGCAGTGAGGGACCAAAAGGTGTAATTCCCTCTTCAACTGACCCCCTTCCCCAAACCCCACTCACACATACAATCTTTTGTATGGAGAAAGGTTGCACATATTCACTGATGGACTCAGTGAGACCAGTTTGCAGCAGGATGGAGGGGCACTAGTAATGTTCATGGAAAACACCAGGGTGACAGAGTTAGGGGAAGCATTCTGTAGGAACAACACTACACAATTTTGGGTCAGGGCAGACTCCCAAGTATGCTGTGTCACCCCAAGAAGTGGTAACCATGGAAGTACCAGGAGACAATGCCCTTGGCAGAGATTAAGTGGGGTAAGGTACGATGGATGAAGGGCACCATCCCTAGCCACAGTGAGGCTCTCCTCTAAAGTGACTTGGTAAAGTGCACACATCAGTATGGAATTGGGAAGTCTTTTCTTAAATTCAAACTCTCTGAGGATTCCCAGAAACACTTGAGAGTGGGATTTAACAGGCTGAGGTCCTGAATCACACAGGTGGGACAGGAAGTGGTGGCATCACTGATGGTGGTACTACCATCAATGATGTGACCTCATTTGTGTCCCCAGGTGGATGAGGCCTAGGTATTTATTTTTAAGCACATGAAAGGCAGATGACTCACATCGTGTTTTCATTCCTCCCTCCAACTCCATCCTCTGTATACACGAAAACACATAGGGATATCCAGTCACAAAACACACATACACATATGTAAATCACAGATGTGCCTACAATAAGAGGACAGGAAAGCAGCCTTTCTTCTGAGCCTACTGCATTCCTGGAATTGTTAGCTGTTTTATACATGTCATCTTAGAATAGCACTGAGAAGGACTGGTGTTATCCATCTCCTTTTCAGATGAAGAAATTCAAACTCAGAGTCCCTTGCCCAAAATCTCACAGCCAGAAAGTGGTAGAGCTCAAACTCAACTCCAAACCCCAGGCCCTTTCCACAGCAGCACCCGCCTCTCACATCACATCTTCAAGCTCTCTGTGGATTAAAGGGTGGGGAAGTGGAACGGTAGCTGTTGGCTGGGCTGGAGAGAACTTGACAAAGGTAGGCAATGAGTTCAAAAGTCCAAAAGGACTGTAAGAGTACACCTAAAGGCAGGAATATCTCAAAGATGAATTTCAAGACAGCATATAGCCAGCCGTGTAGTCATTCATTCATTCATTCACATTCATGAATTTCTTCAACACGTATTTGTGGAGCCAGGGACTGGGAATACAAAGAGAAAAGGAACACATCCCCCTCTCAAGGTGCTTATTAGAGTCTTGTGGAGGAGGGGGATGCACAGCACACAGTGAGACAAATGCCACAGCAGAGGCAGGCATGAAGCATGATGGAAGTCACCGACCCCGGTGTGGAGGACTCAGGGAAGGCAGTGTTTAAGCTAAACCATGAAGAATGGAGCGGGAGGGAATTCCCTGGCAGTCCAGCGGGTAAGGGTTAAGACTCCATGCTCTCACTGCTGAGGGCCTGGGTTTGATCTCTGGTTGGGAAACTAAAATCCCATAAGCTGCATGGCGTGGCCGAAAAAAAAAAAAAGAATGGAGAGGGAGTTTGCCATGTTCTTAAGAACTGCGAGAGAGGGAGAGGAACCGGAGAAAAATCATTGCTTTGTGGCTGGAGCTGTAATATTTTTAGGAGCTCTGGCCAGTCATGTGTAGCCCATCACGGGGCCCAGAGAGAGACAGGTGCTCACCTGTAAAGACAAATGGAGCGAGTCACAGAGACGAGCATATGTGAAAGCTGAGAGACAGAACTTCTGGGCTCTTCCACAATGCTCAGGACCTACATTCAGTATGTCCCTAAGGCATGGCTGTTAGATGCCCCATTGTTCTTAGAGTAAATTCCTCCTTTTTTGTTACTCTAATATTGATGGATTTCTGTAGATTATAACCATGATAGTTCTGACTAAAAAAAAGGCAAAGGTCAGATATGGTTTCCGAAAGAGCCCTGGCAAGGTGTGGGGGAAGAGGCTTCAAGTCCAAAGACCAGAGAAACTCAACAGAGAAGGAAAGAAGCCTTTAGTTCATGGTACTTTTCCGGGTCATGGATGACTTTTCCTCTTCCTGAAAGGACCAATTTTCATACACTGACATTTTAATCTACCTGAAAGCAATTACAGGACAGTGCCCAGAAGCTCTGTTGATTTATAAATAACTGGCCAATCTTTATTTTACTCCAGTGGAATATGAAACAGCTAAGAAATAAGCCTTCAAAAAATTCCTCTTAAGCCCTGAAACAAACCTTTTTAAAGTTCAACTCTAATTATAACATAGAGAAGTTTCATTCTGTCTCTAAAATAGATGTCTTAAAATAGGGGGGCCATCAATAGGTAGGTGAGGAAGACAAGATGCAAAGCTTCACAGGAAAGCATCAGACTCCCTCAGTGAGCCCTTCCTGTGGCAGTTTTGGGAGAAGAGCTTTTTGAAGTGGCAGGCGTCTGTCAGTAATGGAGAAACCGAGGTTTCCAGCTGTTCAGAGTAGTGCTATTTTTATTATACCTTCTCTTGGCAAAAGGAATTGATACGATTTAAAATCTGATAGCTTTTTTTTTTTTCTTTTCGGTACGCGGGCTTCTCACTGTTGTGGCCTCTCCCGTTGCAGAGCACAGGCTCCAGACGCACAGGCTCAGCGGCCATGGCTCACGGGCCCAGCCACTCCGCGGCATGTGGGATCTTCCCGGACTGGGGAACGAACCCGTGTCCCCTGCATCGGCAGGCAGACTCTCAACCACTGCGCCACCAGGGAAGCCCCTAAAATCTGATAGCTTTAATGGAATTTTTTAGCAGGTAGAAGTATGCCCCAGTGGTTGGATTCCCATTCAGGAATGGGAACTCATGTCCCATTTTAGAAAAAGCGTAGGAGTGGGGATCAGAGGCCCTGGGCTCTGGTTCTGGTGGTGCTGCTGCTTTGCTTGCTGTGTGATTTCTAGTTGGTGTCAAGCATCTCTGGGCCTAGTCAGTTCCTCCCTCTATCTATATGATGGAAAAGGATTTCTTTTACTTTACATTGTAAGACTTTGGATTAGGCTAAAATTATTGTTCAACAGACTAGACCAAGGACTATAGCAAACAAGACGAAACTTAGCAAACACTAATGTTTGTTCAAATTCAGTTCAGCCTCTGTGATAAGATACAGAAAACCCACCATGCAAACACAGGATGCGGGAGACATGGCTTAACAGCTTACTTGTGTAAGAAAGGACTTACAATGTGGCTGCTAAAAGCTAGTGCTCTTTCAAGTGGCATTATTAGGAAGATAGTGATGAGAAAAAAGGAGGTCACACTGCCCCTCTGCTCCGTGCTGGTCAAGCCTGAGAGCCGACTCTTGAGGTCCAAGGGGGAAAGGGAATAGGCCTAATGGGAGAGGCAAAGTATCAGCTGTCAGTCAAAACAAGTAAGAGAGCAGTCTAAAGATGGAGTAGGTCAAATATGATTCCCCTAACTCACCCAGACAGACCATGATCTACCCGGAAATGGAGATATAAATAGTTCAGAGTAGATGAGGTATGTTGTGAAATGGAAAAAAGGAGAACAGAGGATGGAGAAGTAGGCAGAGTCAAGTAGTGAAAAGCCTTGTAATCAATGTTAATGGAGTTTAGAATGTTGGGAAGCTGCTGAAGGACTTTAAGCAGGGCGGTGATAGAATCAGATGTGCATTTTAGAAACATCACTCTGGCTGATGGTGAGGATGGACTGGGAGGTGAGAAACCGGAGACTGAGACCAAACAGGAGGGTAACAGAAAAGGGCAAGTTTAAGAAAAATTTAGGAAGTACAATTCACAGAATCTGGCGACTGAATGGATGTGCAAGGTGAGGAAGGAAAGAATTCAGGCTGCTGACCGTGTTTCTAGCCTGCACAACTGCACAGCAGATGAAGAGCAGTGCCCACCACTGAGAACAGGGACGCAGGAGGAGGAGATGTTGGCATGAGCGTGTGTCTGATGAGTTTGGTATGATAAGCAGGATACGTACGCGTATAGCTCAGAAGACAGAAGTGAAGTAGAGAAATAACTAAGACTTGGGAAGGGATGAGACCACTAAGAAAGACTGTAAAGATTAAGAAAAACGGTGGGTTGAGAGTGGACAATGGGGGACCACCAAGATTTAAGAGATTGGCAGAAAAGGGGAATCCATAGAGCATACTGAGTGTGGACAGGTGTGCAGGGAGGAAATGACAATAGTAGTTGTCTGGAGTCTCATCGCTTTCAAAGCATAATTATTTCAGTTGATACTCTGATGTAAGCAGGAGTACATTTATTCTCCTTTTCTTATATGTAAAGAACTAGGAAGTGCAGAGTGGTGGAGACTTGCCTTATTTTATGTGATAAGACTTTCCACTTGAAAACAACTAGAATGATGAATAAAGTATAAAAAGAAAAAAGACCCATCATTTAGAGCTACCATATGATCCAGTAATCCTGCTCTTGGGCATATATCCAGAGAAAAACCATACTTTGGAAAGATACATGCACCCCAATGTTCATTGCAGCACTATTTACAACAGCCAGGACATGGAAGAAACCTAAATATCCATCGACAGATAAATGGATAAAAAAGGTGTGGTACATATATACAATGGAATATTACTCAGCTATAGAAAAGAACAAAATAATGCCATTTGCAGCAACATGGATGGACCTAGAGATTGCCATACTGAGTGAAGTACGTCAGAGAAAGACAAATATCATATGATATCACTTATATGTGGAATCTAAAAAAAAGAGTACAAATAAACTTATTTACAAAACAGAAACAGAGTCACAGATGGCGAAACAAACTTATGGTTACCAAGGGGGAAAGGAGGGGGGAGGGATAAATTGGGAGATTGGGCTTGACATATACACACTAC